TAACAGATGTCTGCATCTGTCTTATCATCATAAGTTGTTGAATAATAGGAACCGCATCATAACAACATGAAGAAAGGTGGGAAAAAATAGAGCAGAGCTATTTACAATGTGAGCACTGTACTAGAGAGGGGTCTGTATGAATGAGTAGTCAGAGCCTGGACGATAATGTGAGAAAACAAGACGACCATTCTGATACTTAAAGAAATACATCAGATATATATAAGTAATAGTACCACACATATATTAGTAGCAAAATCCAGATTTTCTTGGGAGGTGAAAAGGTTGAAATTGACCCACCCTGACTGCCAGAAAAAAAAAAACAATATGGATCTAGGTCACATTTGCCTGTGTTGTGAACAGAGCATGTCTCAAGCCTCTTGCTGCTTACTTTAAGATTCTAACTTTGATTAGTTATAAGGGAATAAAATATCTCCATCTCTTTATTGGCTGATGATTAAAGGATCCATTCCAGTTATTAAATCTGCTTTAGGCAGTCATTTCATAGTAACCCTAAAAATATATCATGTTAACTAGGGATCAATTTATAAGCCTCATCATATTTCTCTTTACTTTTTGATTTTAAAATTAATTGAGTCCAAAAGAGTTGCCACCCAAATGTCGTGCATAACATTGAAACATTTACATGCCAATCCATTCGTATAGATACCCAAACATTGTTTTCTTGCTTACTCATTTGGAAAATCCTCTTTATATCCTATCATTTTATTGTACCTGTTCTATTTTAACTCATTGTGCTTGATTTATCTTAATTCTTCCAGCAAAGTGTTTTTTTTTTTAAATAAGTGTATTTTATAGTTAATTTGATTCAATTGGTAAGAAAAGTGCTTTATAAATAAATCAAATTTGATAGCTAATACATAAATGAATAAGTAAAGTGATATTAACCCCAGGTTTATTAATACACCAGTTATTCCTCGCTTTCAAAAAGGTCTAATTAATTATGTATCGATATATAGGAAAATCAGCTGAGCTTAATTTCTTCTGGCTATAAAATTTGTTAAACCATCCATGAACATTAATGGTGGAAACTCACAGAGAGCCTTCAAGTAGAAGCACATTGGCCTTATTATTTTTTATATTTAAGGTTTACTCCTCCCATTTGCCCGTTTCATTATTAAACTGTACAAGGTGATACAGTCCAAACACACAAAATATGATAATATATTCAATATGCCACTACCAGATAGCTAAAAAGTTCTAGGTTTCTTCACTCCTGTTTTATCAATTTTTTTTTTTTATCAGTTTTAGCACACTAGTTAAGATTAATTCACCTGTTCCCTCTTAAAGACAACACATAAGTAAAGTGATCCTAACCTTTAATGTTCTTATTTAGGCCCTTTGGTTCTGTCAAATAAAGACTGAAATGCTAATCTGGTTGTTTAAAAGACTTGATTCCCTATTTGTATTTGTTTTTTAAATAACCCCTTTAGAATATCATGCCTTAGGGGGGAATTTATTTGGTGGTTTGGCTCAGGCATTAAAGTGGAAATGATGATGAAAACAAACGAAGAGAGGACTGCTGGCGTTATTTCTTCTAAAACATGTGATTTCCTTAACCAACATAACCACAAAACAGCAATAAAGATTGTTCAAAGTAAAACACTTATAATGTTACTGCATTATATTTTCTTTTATATATGATTGCAGTTTTATAATGACAGCTTTTCTGTTTTACATTACCAGAACCCAAGCAGCAATTTGTATGACAGTGCTTGAACATTAGTATTTAGTCATTAGTTGACATTTATTGGCCTTTTGGTTAGAGTTCTATTGCACACAGTTTCCCTTAAGACAACCCTTGTATAGATATTGTCAAATTATCGCACTACAACTTACCGTACTAGAATATTTCTATCAGTAATACTATGAAGAAGTTGAGAAACAAAGAAAAACATCCATCTTATTTGCGTCTAAATTTCCACTTACGGCTCTTATTAATGTGAGCACTGCAGCACAGATGCAGGAAGTTTTAAAAGCTGTGCTTCAAAATGTCACATAACCCTTTCCCTTACTGTAGGCTACTGTTTTGACACCACTGGTGTATTGATCAAAACAAGAATTGTGAAAAGTTTATTTTTATAATATATTGTGACACTTTGATCTACATTATCTTTGCATATCAAAGACTGAAAACATAAATAAATTCAAGCCTATTCTGTGTCTGGAATGTAATTATGTGCATGTATTCAGTACAAAAAATGCCTCTCATAACTGATGGGGCCCCTTTTTGTTGGTTAATCCGCTCACATATCCATGTAAGCTTCAGGATTTTTTACGCTTTACTGCAGAGTGCCGGTTCCCTCTCTGAGTCTGCAGTCTTTCCAGTGTCGGATTTTTCATGAGGTTGAACTGATCCCTTGTCAACAAGATCAGGTAGAAAAGGTGGAACAAAAACCAATAAAAAAAAATAATAATACTTCTACCAGCCAAAACTCAGTAAGTGGCATAAGCAAGATCGATATTATGTAGAATTTAAACTGAACTACATGTATCGATCTAGAAAGCCTCATGCAGAAAGTGTTCGCAAAAGGGAGGGACATTCAGTAGAATTCTTCGAGCTGATTAGTTACCTGCTACCATTTTTAGCCAATCACAGAAGCCATGCAGCTTGATTTGTTTCCCAACTAGCAGAGCTATCTGATAAATCAGAATCTTACCAAATCCAGTTGGGGGGAACGAGCAAACATCTTTCCCATCCCCAAAGGCAAAAATTGCGTCTATTTAGTTTTTTTTTCAAAAAGAAATTGTAGGTATTCCAGCTAAAACCCAAAGAGCCATTTTTGACTTGCTTCAGCCTTCCGCCTCTGGTTGACAAATTGACGTTACACACATCAATGCATTTAATTAGTCTGAAACCTTTCTGTATCTAGGCTATGCATCTGCTAATTTCTAGTAGCATAGACATACATATAAGTGTAGACCCCACAAATCGATGCAGTGCAGAAATTACAGGCGCCATCTTGGGGAGGTCAACCTGCTACCCTAACTTACTGTAGTAAAAAAATTATAAAATGTATGAGTGGCTGTGCTTTGCAACATACACACATCCTATCAGAATATTCTATTCTCTGAACTTCACTAAGAATACTTAAATGCACTGAACCATTTGGGGTTTTTTTTTCAGCAAAACACAAAAAACAAAAAAGAACTTCAAAATTACTTCAATATTCAGTGAATTAAAGTTGATTAAAATTGATCCTCTGCCTGCTGAACACATTACACCGAGTGGAGCTGTCGACTGCCCCAAGATGGCGCCACCAAATAACGTCAGCGCCTATAGGCGAAAGCAGTCGATGAGGGGTCTCTTATATGTATGTCTATGTCTGGTAAGATGTATTTTAGGAATATTGTGAGTCACAGATCTGGTGATAATTCATCTTAATTGCAAGGTAACAGAACTAGTCCCTCACAGTGGTATTCATACTGCTTTAATCTTCACAAATACCAAATTGCAAGTTAGAAAAAAGAAGTATGGGTTTGAAATATTTTTAGGAAGATAGCCCATGTGAGTCAATACTTTGCAGGACCAAATTTGTCTTGATTGATCCAGCTTTAGGAAGCTTTAGGCCCCCTGTGCACATAACAACCATCCATTAAAAACCTGATTGTTTTGGTGGCCATTTGTGCACTGGAAACACTAATAATAGGGTAATTTCCCAATCATGGCAGTTCTTTAAAGCACTTAGGAAATGAATACCCAATCAGACTGATTAAAAAGGCAACACCACTAAAGCTTTCAGAACGGAAAGTAATCAGACATGTTTATGGACAGACATAGAAGTTCAGCTTCAGATGACTTTGAGATATAAAAGCACCAGTGTAGTTATGCTGTTAGAAATGCAGTAATATGTGCTGATTGCAGTCATACTAAGGATTGGCCAAGGCCTTCCCTTACAGGTAGATTCAGTCTTTTTCTTTGTTATCAACAACAGAAACCAGAATACTTTTAAACCATTCCACTCTGGATCTCATTTTGCTGCTTAGGTGTAAAATAACAATAGGCCCACACTATAATGCTGCCAAAACTATGTCTCAAAGCAAAGAAGGACTCCCAGGTTAATCTGATGTTGTTCTCATTTAACGATGTTTGTTGTGTTCCTTTATGGCCTGAGGCAAACTCCTAATTGGACCTTTTATGACTTTTGCTTAACAAAGCCTTTCCTGGGGCTGTTGGTTCCACTTTGAATTTATTAAGTGTTCTAACATTTGTAAAATAACTAATAAATAAAAAGGCAATCCTTTTCTTTTCACTACATGTAAATGCATCAAGTTGTTTTGGTTATTTGCATAGAACTTAAATAGAAAATAACAGTGAATGTGCTTTTTAAAAAGTAGAAAAACAATAAATAACACTTTTGCATTGCATCACTTAAAGGTCGAGTTGGGTCCCAAATCATCCTAAAATCATTGTCAAATCTTTTTTTTTTTTTTATCTACACAGGTGAGGCTTGAAATGTATCTGATTCCTAACCAAGCATAGCCACCATCTAGGCCACAGGGGCTCACACATATTTCCCACATGCCTTTCCTCTCACTCACACACCCTCCTCCCCTGCTGCTGTCAGACCAACTCAAAGTCCTCTTTCATCCCTTCACCTGCAGGCACCCTCTTTGTCTGCTTGATCTTCCCCTAAGAGCCAGTTTACAGGACCCTACCTGTGGTGAGGACCCTCTGTTAAAAAAAAAAAGAGCCAGGTTTATGCTGAATCAGGCGGATGGTGCAGTGATTAAGGGTTAAGTCTAACCCTAACATGCCACAAAGGCTCTTTCATCTTCTTCCACACTGTGCAATTTAGGAGTCAACAGACACGTGAGGGAAGGATCATAAAAAAACCAACCACAGGTCTGTTGGTGAAGTTTACGCACGGTTTGTTATTGGACCACCGTGCAGATCACGACTGAACAAAACATTGTTGCACAACAACTATGTCTAAAAAGTGAGTCTCAGCATGTCAGCTCCACCAGATCGGCTCTCTCACCAGATAGCTATGCGCTCCTTCGGGTACTCCAGCCTCTCGATGCAGCCCAGGTGGTGCGGCAGGCTGTGCGCTGCGTTCCGCGCCAGGATGGCGATCATAACCTTCGGCGGCAGAACAGGGGACTCCGGCTTCACCCGCTCCTGCACCAGCGTCACCAGTTCGGACAGGACGCCGGCCACCAGAGCAGCCAGTAGGACCCACAGCTCAGCGACTGCCCGCATGTTTCCTCCCGGATGAGTGTTCCCAACTGAAGCCGGAGTCCTTCTGGTTGGGAAAGGTGGGAGAAGGTGGGCGTGGAGGTCTGCGCCTCTGCTACCCCGCCTACCGTCACTGGAGGTTGTTGCATGAATGCAACCTGGAGAGTCTCCCAGATATATCTCACTATAGGCATAAACTTGGACCCCATTTAAACACTATGAAGACCCCTAACACATTAAATTATGTCCATGCATGAGGCGTTTCCCAAAATACACAAATAGAATATGAGTTATAAGTTTGTGGGAAAAAAAACTGTATTCACACCTTGACTAATAACCAACAGAAAGTCAATGTTGACATTTCAGCAGCCAACTGTTTCTTGAAACACCAAACATGCTTTTTGCATTTTTTCCATATGGCTTTTTAAGAATGCCTCATTTCATGCATCATAATCACTGCCCTAATCTAAAGCTCCTTCCAGAGACTCAAAGTAGAGACTTTATCTGGGGGAAGCTAAAATCACTTCTATTCAGAAGAAAAAAAAATTATTTCAAACTTGTGTAAATCTCTATTTAGGTCCTAGATATATTAAGGGTTATTTTTGCTTAGAAAACCAAATCATCACAAGTTGCACATAGTCTAAAAGAATCTTTTGCAATTTAAGACATTGCCTAATATTGCTGTGACTGAATTTGTTCTCTTAAATGTCCCATTAATAGGCCAAGTTGGATAGTAACTAGTTCCATTTACTACCACTTGCACATTCAGACACAATTACTTGAGTAACTTTAAAGCCCCAGTCGGCCTCAGCAGATGGCTGCTCACACTAAGCCTGGTTCTGCTAGAGGTTTCTTCCTGTTAAAAAGGATTTTTTTTCTCTCCACTGTCGCTACAAGCGTGCTTAGTGTGAGGGATTGCATTTGAGTCAATGAGTCGATGCAAACAACTGGTTTTCCTTAGATAGAAAACTTTGAATCAATTTGACTGGATGATCTGGTTGAACTGACGTGTTGTGAATTGGCGCTATATAAATAAACTGAATTGAAATTGAACTGAAATTAAAAAATATGACAAGATTATGAAGTAATATTCTTGTGAAATCTTTTTTTTCTCTTGAGTACAATTTCCCGTTTCTCTGACTTCAGCTGCTTGAAGATCAGGTTAAAAACATTTAAGAATAGATATTATAGCAAGCTTTCTTTATCCTTATCTAACATATCCATGACATAATCATGTATATTTAGAAAAAAAGTATTTGGAAAAGTGCTACTTCAGCTCAGATTTTTTACTTTTATCATGTTAGGTATAAATATATATCTTTATACCAAATCTTGCATGTAAATGTCTGTCTGATTACATTATTTATTACAATTAAAATAAATGTTATGAGCCAATAATTATTCAGTACTTTTACAAAGCACTCTTTTACTCTCACTCAAGTCTTTTCTAGTTTAACTTGAGTAAAAACTGGTTAGAGTAGGACAGCTGATACTTCAGTAAAATATCTGGGTACTCTACCCACCTGTTAGTGGGATATAGAGGCTTTGCTGTCTGTATGGCACAGACAGGACTCATGGTAGTAATTGCTTTTCTTCTCCAAAGAGTACAAATAAAGCCAATAATCTCGATAATAAAAAGCTTATAGAAAATGATTCGGCCCAAGTCCTCAGCAGTCCCCCTTCTGGAAATTGCAGAATCTAAGTCTCTGCCTTTGTTGTAGTTTTAGATGTGTAGTTCCTTTGCTGCGCTGCCCTGAGCAAGCTCTGCATTGGTGGCTACCATATCAAAGGTTTATGCTCTGTAGAAGATTGTCCTTCATATTATTGGACGTCCTTGAGTGCTTTAAAACATTTTCCCCAGCAGTTAAACCTCCCTACTTGAGGTTCTTGATGACGTATAAATAGTTGTTTTGGATCCAGTGTTACTTGGGGCAACATCTTCCTCTTTGAAGATGACAGTGGTTGTTACAGGTGGAAGAACACTGTTTTTAAGCACTGCTTCTTTTTTTTCAAACAAGCCTGAGCTTTTCCATCAGCTGTTCTTGTTAGCACTTTCCTCTCAGGTCAGCCTTAGGTCAGAACTGATGCTTTGTGGTGGAACACTGCAAATCAAAGGGTGGAATACTTTGAGGCCTGTTCTGTTACTCCTCTTATTATTTTTTTGATTTTCGTATTTAAAAAATTTAACGGCACATATAAACAAAACGTTTAAACCTTTTTTGTTATGTAACTTTTACACATTTTTTTTTTTCCTGTTGTTATTTAGTCTGTGGACCATTTTGATTTGTCTATTTCTCATTATTTCTCCTTTCCCTCATCCTGAGTATTTCTTTCCACCTCCACACCCTCACTAAAGCGGCATTTTGCTTGCTTGGGAAGTGGAGAGCATGAAGTCATCACAGAGGCAAGCTTTTGCACTTTTTGATTCCACCTCTTCCCTCATTCCCTTTTCATTTCTCACAGCAGAAAGCTGTGCAGAAAAACTTAAACCTTCGCTGGTTTCTGTATATCTGCTTCAGATAATCCAAACTCTCATGTAGGCTTTCAGAGTCCTACCAATCTTTTGGTTTGTTGGCTTTCTGCTTGTTATATTTTTTTCCAGACTGACTCATGCAACCCACAAACTATAGGGGAGGAAACTTGTCTTATTGGCTGACCGCACAAGTGTGGGTATAAAACTGTTTCTGTGGTGCTTCTTAATAAATTAGAATATAATGTCATGACTCCTGTCTTTCTACTCCTGCCTCCTGTCATGCTCACATCAAGTTATTAAAAGCTCTTGCAGGTAGATGTCCATTATTTCTTCTTTGCTCTTGCCTGATCTCCAAGTTATGACCTCGTGTCTATCTCTAGACACTTACCTTGCTTTTTTCCCCTGATCTCTGAGCCTTTACCTCGATCTGGACCTATTTGGTTGTATAGACTCTGTATTGGTTTAGTAAAAAAATAGATTAAATTGTCCAGTTTGGATTAAGTTAATGGACTGGTTGGTTTAATGGTTGATACTTGATCAAAAAAACAGTTTTTTCAAATTGGTCTTATGTTTATTATTTTTTTCTTTTGGTTTGCATTAGTTCTAAGTGATAATAAACATACCAACATCTGAACCATGCCCTTGTAATAAATCTTTAATAAGGTTTCACCTTCTGAGCAATGTTACTGAAATATTAGTGTTTTTAAACGTAGTTTCATTTTAATTCAGCCAATTTGCACGAAATGCATTTATTCAAATTATTTTTCTTAATGAAATACATATAATTAAAAAGGTCTAAAGACAAAATTTGTATATCAGGTTATTTATGGTTTAGCACTGAACAGCTTAACAAACTGAACAAAATTCTTATGAAACGTTCCGATACAAGGAACGGACAGAAAACTGAGATACAAAGCAGATGGATTTCTGTCAGGAACCTTGACAATAATCAAAGACAATTAAAAATTTACAGGAAAAATACCTTCCAACGGAAGCAAAATTCCCTTAATTGAGACTTTTGCTTGTTTCTATGCTGGCTCATTTAACCTCTGAATTATTCAACTGAGAAATCTCTTTTAAATTAGATTAATAAATGATTAGCTAATGAGAATCTATACATTTTTACCAAGTAAGACTTAAAGTTTTTTTTTTTAGATCCACAAGAAAAAAATAAAACAGAATAGAGTTTGGGTTATTTTTCTTTGGAATTAAATGTAGATACAAATATAGCCAAAAATTCAAAAATAATCCACAACTAGATGGATTAGATTTCTCTAGTTGGATAATGTAAAATACAGTGCCGGGATTTTAAAGAGATTGTTTTTACAAGAAGGTCCATCAGCTCGTCTGCTGCTGTTGAATATCTAAAGTTTGCCAGCTCTCTAATATCTAATACCCCCCCCCACACACACACACACACACACACACACACACACACACACACATACACACTTTTGAAACAAAACAGCTTGTTTTAACATTATTAAAATATTATAACTGACCTGAAATTTTAAACAGCTGAAAAAAATGTTTCACTTCTAGTTTTAGCAACTTCTAGTTTGACTGAGAAAGGGGAGGTATAGATCTAAATACAGACAAATTGTGTGTTTAATAGAGAAGAAAAGATATGTTAGAAGACTAGAACCATATGAAATGAAAAAATTATAGAATTTAACCTGGAAACGATAACTGAAATAATGAATGGAGTCAAAATAAACTATGAGAAAAAAAGAAATATCTCCAACATTTCAGTGAAAATGAGTTCAGTTTTCCTCCTGAGCGTGGAGTCCTCTGGGCCCTAACTTGGATCCTTTGCTCCAAAACTTGGCATCCGTGCTCCACATATTATTATAATGTTATACTGTGGACTCTTATATGATTACAGCAGCCCTCCATCAACCTCTTTTAATTATAGGAGACTAACAACAGGCTCAGACAGCCAGCTTACTATAGCTGCTGTCTTGGCTTCATTGTGTTTATTTAAGTTGGGCTCTCTGCCACCCAGTAATGTTTCCCCTCCCTAAGGTAATGACAGCATTTTGCCATGTTATTGGATGCACTTAGTCTGGCAGCCAGACTCTAATCTCTCAGCTCCCTCTAGTGCCAACCCAAAGATATTATCTGTTTAATGCACAGAAACAACCCAATCATAGTCCAAACATATATTAATAGTGTGGATCCTAAACATTCTGAGCTCTAAATCCTTAAAAGATTCTGCTTTTTTATTTTATTTGCACACATATCTGTCTTTAACACAGGACATCTGGATGAGCAGATCTGAATGGGAAAGTTGTCCATGCTATCATTTGCTCCAGTGGATGTTAACAGAGGAACATTCTTGGCTGATACCCCTCTCAAACAAGGGTTAGTTTTAAAACCGAAAAGTAAAAGCATGTAAATAAAATCCCAAACTGATTTTCTTCCCTTTTTTTATTTACTGAGCCTGGGCTCTGTGTAATAAACAGCCTCACCCTTCTGGCTCTGCATTAGCCTTCTGCAGCGAGGTGGCGTTTTCATTTTTCAGATGGTTCAAACTCCCTGTCCTGTCATAGCGGAACATCTGCTTTGTAATTTTGGTTGTGTTCTTG